GATTCGCTTAATTTTGCTTAGCACTATAATCCATATTTTTTGCCTAAACTTCAGGATGCAATATCTTGGCATCCAGGCATCCGATCCATACGATCTTAGCATCATTGGAAAGCTCTCATCGTCCTCTTTCAAACGACTACAAAACCGCATGAAACCAATCACAGGAAGCCAAGATATTCCGCCCTAAAGATCGGCCAGAAATTATGCCATAGTGTCGGCCAAAATCTGATCCGCAAATTAACTGCGCCATCCGACGATTTTTTTACACCATTTCAGTAACTTAAAAGGCCAGCAAATGGGCCACACCCTCGACCTCAAATATGGCAACCAAAATGGTCATAGAGTGGAAAAACCAACTTTACTCCTATACAATTGTTAAAAGGCTTCAGAATAGAAAAACAAACTTCTGTTCTATTTAGCAACCAAACAGTCATAGACCAGTGAAAACGGATGGGTAGCAATAAAGCATCAGAAGGGGCATAGACATGTAAAAATAAGTAAGTAGGCATTAATATCTATAAGTAGGCATCACTATGGCGTAAGTAGATAGATTAAGTAGGTATCACTATATATATATAATGATGTCTACTTAATCTATCTACTAATGAATTATTGATAATGGTATATAAGGACTTTCTAAGTGAATCTGTTGCTTTATCATAATGGAGCATATTTTCATTTTCTTTATACACTTCAATCCAATGCTTGTGGAATCCGTCTACTCTTAACATCAACAATATCAAAATATGTATTTGCATTTGATTTCTATTTGAAAGAACTCGAGTACATTTACAATCAATCCTCTCTAAATGCACACACTATATAAATGCACGCTCTCTTTCAGTCACAAGCATATAGAATTCATATAGAAATTCTCTTTAAATGCACACTCTTTAAATGCACATTTTTTAAAATTTTCATTATGGTCCCAAGGGGATACATTTAAAGAGGGTTGACTGTATACAAGATTGTAATTTAAAAGAAAAAAGAAAAAATTTTTTTTCCTCAAAACAGTCTAATTTGGAAATTCAAAATTTGTCATCGACACGAAATTTTTTTTATGTAAGGGGAGAGTTAACATATACGGGTGTGACAAATAACAATCAGAATTTATAAAAATCGTGTAACGATAAAGAAACCCGATAATTTTTTCAAATCCTAATATGTTTATTTTTCGTGTTTTTCCTTTTTTTTTTCCAAGTGCATAATTTTATTAAATATTATTATTTTATATTATATTATTATGAAGGGTCTTAATAACGTTTCGATAGATATGCCCAATATTGCAAATGCTTTAGTTGAGAAGCAGCGTTTCGATTGCCAAACTCTCCAAAATGAATTAGTTTCAATTAATGAAATGACAAATAACTCTAACGCAAACAATTCCTTGTTTAATATTGTTACTCAACCAGACAATATTGAAGATGTTGCCTCACTTTTAGAGGCGTACTTTGAGGAATTTTCTAATCAAAGTACGACAACATTTCAGACAAATAATTTACAGGATTCTCAAAGATCAGCTACTGTAAAAACATTCGTTGAAAACGAACCAATTACGATAGCAAATAACTTTTCGTTGAAAGAAGGTCCATTAAACGAGCATAATTCTGATAATGAGGGCTTTAACATTGATGAACCTCTAGCAGAACCAATAGATTATAATTCAACGTCTGAACAACAAAAACAAAAAAATGAATGGTCTCTTAACATAGGAGAACCAACAGAATTGATCATCGTAAGGAAATTCGCTAAATCATTTTCAAACGCATTTGAACGTGAAATTTCTGAAATGCAAAGTGTTTCCTCAAGCTCTAAGAAACTCACTAAATCTCAATATCGTGAAATCGCAGAAAAGTGCAGGTAGGCGTAATAAATAAATTTAAACATCAATCCACATATTTTTACTGATTTATTTATTGTTATTAATAGCGTTCAAGAATGTCTAAAACTGTCAAGTCAATTCTTTGCAGACCCAACTTTATTTAGTCTTCTTCGACAATATTATTCGATTGATGGTGATAAGATACAAAACGGATCAACTTCAGGTTCTATTGCATTACCTCCATTATCAAGGACAGAAGAAACTAACGGTAACGGGCTTCAGAACAAAAATATAGATGAAGATGTCATATGTCGTTCTCAATCACCAGCAACTTCAAAGAAAAGAAAGGCGATTTCTGATGAATGCAATGGAAAAGATGGACAAGAATCGTCTTTGCGTGCTCAAAGCAATAAACGGGTTAAACGCCGATTTAAAAAGGACTCACAGAATAATTCTAGCAATGTTGCATCATCTTCATTTTCTGAAACTTCCAATACAATCGTTCCTGCAGTTTCAATTTCTTCTATCACTGCAAAGTCTCGTAAAGGGCTTGACCCAAGCGAAAGGCCTGAACTATCTGCTATGGAAAATAGATTTTGGGAGATGGCGGCTTTATTGGATAGTTCACCTTTGGCTAGTTTAAAGTATGCATATCTTTGATTATCATTAAGTTTCATTCGAATTATTAACGATTTTATGGTATCAATTCAGTTCAAAATATCGAGCTCCTGCACCTTCTAAGAAACGCTACGATTTGAATTATGTTTCTTCAATAACAAATGTATGTTAATTTCTATTTGGATTTTCATATTAAAAATTTTTTTTTATATAATTTAACGAACTTTGTTTTCTTAGAAGAAATCCGATAATGTTAAAAAGATCGATATTAGTGGCGATCCCGAAGTTGTCCTATCCGTAGCATTTTATAATCAGAGCAACCCTGTAAGCCGAACACAGGAATTTTTGGTTCTCGGAAGTCAACCACTAACAGCACTTAGAGATGCTTTTTATTGCATCAGTGACTTTTATAAACAAGAAGCTTCTGAATTATCTGCATCAATAAATGCTTTGAATTCATCTGAGGAGAAAAAATCGGGTAGTTATTTTTTCATTGAAGACGTGTTTTATAATGATTGCAGGGATAACGACGCACTGGACTATAGCAAGTATGTTTTTTTCTATTTTTTATTTTTAATTTTAATTAACTATTCGTTGTTTAATAAATTCCTTGATTCACAGAGAGATTATCGATTGGGTAAATGAAAATAAGCGCTATACCCACCCAGGGCTCGGGTTATATCAGAGAAAAAAAATGGAAGAGGTGACATTTAGTGACCTCTCGATAAGGTTAAATAAGCCTTATCTATTTGTCCATAAAGGAGATTGTGAACATGCCATAGTGTTTGCAGATTTGAGGTATGGTACATTTTATAAATTTTAAGTTCTATTTTATATTACTCTGATTTATTCATTATTATTATCATATAGATTATGGCAAGAAGCCGATGGGTTGGATGTAGATTCCTTCCCAAAGTCAACTTTTAAGTGTAAAATTATCCGTCACAAGTGTCGCATGTGCACTGCACGGCCTGCATCGTGAGTATTGACTTTTTTCTCCTTGAATAAAATTATTATTTTAATAATTTTCTAATAATTTTATAGGCTTGTAACGGTTAACGATTTTTTTGCTGGAGAAACCCCGGCCTATTTCTGCGACCAATGCTATAACCAATATCATTATGACAATAGTTCAAACTTGATATACGATAATTTTCAGGTTATATATTTTTTATTATTTTCATTAATCATACCTTCATATATAAAAGCCTTCCTTAAGAATTTCTAAACAGTAAAATATTATGAAAAAAAAAACAACTATAATTACAATCATAATAGTATTTACACTTTGCTACAAATGTCAATAACAACGGAGACAACATTATTATTATTACTATTATTATATATTATTGTATATTATTCTAATTTCAATTTCGTTTAAACCAGGTGTTTCGATACGCCCACGATTGACGTTAGAACGCTGGAGCAGATCACAAATTTTTTTTTTAAAAAACAATTATAATATTAAAAAATAGATAATAATAATGAATAATAATAATAGACATCACTGCATTTATTGTAGGTATACAAATATTTCTATTAATTTTATTCAAAAAAATTATTATTTTTTTAACATATTTGCTTACCTTATCATTTTCATTTATCATTATTTATATCTTTTCTTTTTCTGGGAATGTATAAATTAACAGTTAAATCAAAAATATATATATATTAAAGTTATGCGAGTTGTTGTAAGCATATTTTTTTCAAAAAAAAAAAAAATTAATGATGTTGCATATATATATAATGTTATAAGTTGAATGGTTTGTGAAGAATTATTAACTATTTATTCTTTACAGATAGAGAAGTTTACAATATGCTAGATTTGGACTTGGATATATTGGAATGAGAGGTGAGTTTATAATATGGTTTGATTTTATTTATTTTATGATTTTCTCTTTTTTTGCTTTTATTGTTAGTTATATGCATGCTATAACCATTTAATTTTGATCATGATTATTGAAAGTAAGTAAAAATAATCTAGTTTCATATTATAAGGAATTAAGGAATGAAAAGAGTGAAAAAAGAAACCTAACTAAATTGAATCGAAATATTTTTTGATAAAAAATTAATCTTCAAACAATAGTGGATGATTATTTTTCTTGATTGCTTATATTTGGTTTTTCAAATTGACTTTTTTGACTTTTTTTCTCTATTGTTTGTAACAATAAAATAATATAAAAAAAGTTAAATTAAAACTCTGAATTATTAAGAATAATCATTAAAAATTAAAAAAAGGTTTAATATAAAAAAAGTAAATCAGATTTCAAAAATAATATGTATTAAATATTTAATTAGCTTTACAGTATGTTTTAAAAATAAAAGAATTTTTTAAAAAAAAAATTTAAAAAAAGTATAATAATATATATTTTAGTTTTTATATTACAATAGTATACCAATTGAATAATATTAAAAAAAGCAATTCTTTATAAGATTTTTTTGTAAATGTATAATATAAAGTCTATAAGTTTACTTAAAATTTTATAATTTCATATAAAAATCATTTTAATATTTGCAATTAGTCTTTTAAAGATCATTTAACTATTAAAGTTAAAATGTTAAGCTGCTAAGGTGTTAGGTTGTCAAAGAGATAGTGTAACAAAATGTTAAGGTATCAGATTAATCTAATATTATCTAAGAACCTTCAAAATAAGTTTACTTATCTGAGAGTATAAAAGATATGTTTTAAAAAAAAAGAAAAGAATTATTAATATAAGAAGAGATCTATACTTAAAAATACTTTGAAGAATTTTTAAAAAAAGACTTATCTATATGAAGAAAATAAGATTCATTCTTAAAAAACAAATGATAGTAAAAAAAAAATATATATATCTAAAATTTTATTTCATTTATAATATCTTATATATTCAAATTTTCTTATTTCATTTATCAAAAAAGCTTCAAAAAATTAAGTAGATTTTTATGACATTTGGCTATTGTAATAATATAATATTTCATATAATAATTTAAATAGTTTATTATAAATAAATAATAAAAATATTCTGATTTATTTGATTTATCGTAAGCTTTTAAATAAGTTTAAAAAAGTAAAATCATAATTAGTATTATTAACTTGTATTAAACATTAATTTTTTGATATTTTTAAAGAACATATTTACAATTATAATAATAAAAATGTTTATAAATATATTTTTTAAAGTACTTTTAGGTATTAAGCTTTAAGTGAAATTTTGAACAATTTATTATAAAGCTAAAGATTTTATAATGAAGAGTAACAAATTTATGTTATTTTATTTAATAATCTGTTTCAATATTTAAAAAATAATCCATTAGCTATTATAGTTTATTTAACTAAAAGTATAACCATTAAAAAATATAAATTCACAATCTTATTATAGATTTTAAAAAATATGCATAATTATATAACCTTTAAAAAGAATTTGCAAATTTTTATGAATTTTTAAGAGTTTTATAAAAAATTGTGATTTTTAAAAGATTTCATAATATTTTTGTGATACTTAAAGAAAATTTGAAAAAATTTTGCAATTTTCTAAAGAGTTTGTAATCTTTAAAAAGAATTTGCAAATTTTTATGATCTTTTAAAAATTTTATAAAATAATTGTAATTATCTAATAAGTTTCACAAAATGATTATAATTCTCTAAATACTTTACAAATAATTGTGATTTTCTAAGAGTTTTACAAATAATTACAATTCTACAAAATAATTGTAAACTCTAAAATCTTTGTAAAATTATCTAAGAGTTTTATAAAATAATTGTAATTTTCTAAGAATTTTACAAAATAATTGTGATTTTTACAAAAAAAATTGTGAATCTAAGAATTTCATAATATTTTTATAATACTCAAAAAAAATTTGCTTAAGCTCTGAATCAGGTCAGATCAACTTGTTTACCTGACCTGAACTGATCTAAAAATTCAGGTCAAATCAATAGATTTTTAGGTTGATATCAGGTCAAATCAACAGGTTGACCTAACTTGACCTAATAAAAATTCAGATCAACCAATCATTCTTCTTAAATAATTTATTATTGTTAAATTAGAAATAACAAAGTTGATTAAATAAATTAATAATTGTTTATTATATTATTATTTA